TAGTACTTGTGCTATGTTTGCATCTCCTCCTGTTGTAGGTAAGTCGTTAATGTTGTGTGCCAGTGGCAGTCATTCGCTAAACCTTTAGTAACAAAGGGCTGTTGTATCATCATCAGCGTACCGATATGTTCCTGTGATACGGGCAAAATTATTTTTTTTTCTAAATTGAGTCAATACTCAAAAGCTTTTATCTGCAAGTAAAACAGACTTTAGCTCAGTGGTTTGGTATTACCTTTTGGTGCTCTAGGCATCCACGTACTCATGAACGCTTCTGTAGCTGGGAACTGAAAAATCTTCTGCTAAACTCTTTGGATAATAAGAACCATAAAAAGCCAAGTGTGGTTCATGTGTGCTCTTTGGGTGAGGCTACAAACACTTAAGTATATTGCACCAGGAGCTGGAGGGGTTAAAGTACGTGTGTAAAGTACCAGTCAAAGGTAAAGAGCCTTGATCCATGACCAGTTCACGTTTGGAGATCAGCCTGGAGCTGCTACTTGCGTGCCAGCAAATACAGTGTGATTTCACAGCAGAGTGTGTCACGATTTTTCAGAATGCTGGTGGGTTTCTTTTTTTTCTTAGCCTTGTCAGAAGTGTTTAAATAGCAGTTGTGCACAGTGACAACTCTTACTTCAAAGTATCATGAATTCTTATAAATTAACCCATGTTAGTTATAAAGTTGTAGTTTATCGAAACTTGAGTGCTTTGAAATACAGTATTAAATAAATGAAAGAATCCCAGGATAATTGAGGTTGGAAGGGACCTCTGGAGGTCATCTTATCCACACCCCCTGCTCAAGGAAGGGGGTAGACACCTAGAGCACGTTGCCCAGGACCATGTGCATACTGTTGAAATGGGGTTAAAATAAATGTAATGCAACGAGACAGCTGCTTTTTTTTTTTTTTTTTTCTCCAACATCTCTTCCCATTTTCTCTGGGAAATATGTTTTTGCAGAAAATTCTTAACCTTCATTCTCTTTTGGATTGTTAATAGAAGACAGGACAACTGTTGTAATAACATTTGCTTTCTTTAATTGTCTTGATATTACACTTGATATTCTTTGATTGGCTTGATAAGAAATACGTCAAATTATCAAAATAATTTCTTTAAAAAAGAAAAAGCAACAGTGACAAAATTACAATTGTGTCCATCCCTCCAGCCACCAAAAGGAGGATTGTTCATGAGTTGCTGAGCTGAAGGTCCCAGCCTGTCGAGGTCAGTGGGGTACTTCCTGGGCTTGAACAACGGTTTGGTCATCCAGGTCATAAGTTAGTTTGGGCCCAAGAGCATTACGAGGGTAAAAACACGCAGCTTTTGGAGGGAGGAGAGAGCCTTTAAAACCTGTGGTTAGATTTTAGTGCTTGATGTTCTTAAAGTTGATGGCAGGCAAGGACTGCAACTTCTCTATCTTTCCTGTCCACTTGCAGTTTGTAGCTCTTTATTTCTGCCCCCTCATGCGTTTTCAGGCTTCTTAGTTCACCCCACTCCAGTTTTTGATTCTGGTACAAGAATCCTCTTCATTTGCTAATATTTTTCGTATGAAACTTCACACAATATGCTCTGCCATCTTAAGATAACTTCCTTTCAAGGTTACTAGGTATACAGTTCAGACTTGCGCTGTACTCTTCAGTAGCTCTTAACTATTAGGGGAAAAATCACATAACGTTATCCTTTTTTTTTTTTTTTTTTCCCTACTTCATTACAATTTGTAACTCACTGTAATCACATAAGAATACTCATCTCCTGACCTGCGGGACTCAGCTGTTAGAGAGAAGATCTGCTTCCATAGTTTTTAGGAATTAGGTTGGATTCCGGTGTGGTTGTCCCCAGTCTCCACTGGTGCTCAGCACTGGCTCTTGGGAAGCAGCCTGCTCTATGGACAGAATCCTCTTTGGCTTTTCCTGGAAACCTTGCTCTGCCTCAAGAGTTTCCAGTGGCCACAACCAAAATCAGAGGTCTCAGGAAAGGTTGGGTGTGGTACAGTAGGTTTGGGTGTGTTGTTGCAATTCTGCTCTTCATGCTACATTTCCTGTGCTCATGGTATCTCTAGTAAAAGGTTTCATACGAATTTAACTGATTTCCAGGTTCACTGGGTTTTCTTTTGTTTAGATATTCCTGATAGAGCTGCTGCACATGCAAGAGCAGGCAAAAATATCAGGCTCTAGTAGCGGCGCTGTGTTTGCCCTCTTTCCTACACACTGGAATTTTAGCAATTTGTTCTAAAATTCCCCTAAGAAGACAGGGCTATAACACCTACAGCGACCCAAGAGATCTGGGTGGTTTGGGGAGCACCAGTAGAGGGACAAGGCAGATGCTGTTTTGTTTGCAGAGGATTCTGGAAATGGAAATCCATTGTAAGTCCTGCTGCTCCTTTGCGGCTAATTGCAGACCAGCTTTGTATTGGTACTAAAAATAGCTGTCATTACCAATTCTGAGTTCCTTTAAAATATAAAAAATAAGATTAAAAAAACCAAACAACTCAAAACTAAGCAATTTCAGTCTTTGGCTTTGCAAGTACAGTAATGACTTTGTCTAGTTAATTTAGAGGGAGAGTGGTTGGAAAAATTCTTTTGTTTCAATTTAAGAGGTTATTGATTAAATATTACATGTTAGGGGCTTTTATTTTTGCTCTTGCACTAATGCAGTGGGTTTGAAGGTAGTTTCTGAATATTTGAAAAGATAAGTGTTGTTTAAAACAGTTAAAAGAATAGAAAATATGGAAGCAAAACATGATTGTTAAGTAGACCAGACTAGGCATCTCTGTATAGGGAAAGGAGGAAAAAAACCTCAATACTGACAGAAAACTTCTGACAAATGGAAGTAGCTAAGCCATTGAGGTATCATCCATCTTTGCTTCTCCCTAGCAGTTATTGAAAAAAAAATGGATGTGGAGTGTAAACTTTCATTTAAAAAAAATAAAAATGTTGTGGTTCAAGTTTTCTCATGTAGCCTAAGTGAAATTTTGTGATAACTCAAAATGATGCTTTACCGAGTTCTTGCTGTGATCTGTTGGTATACAAAAGGAAGCTCCAATTCAGATTTACGATGAAATTCACAGAATGAATAACTTTACAGCTAAATTTGTGGTTCGTTTGAATGGAGGATGGCAAAGAGGGTGTGTAGGTTTAATCAGTTAGTGCATCATGTTTCTTACTGTTTCAGAAGAAAGTCCTGGTATCCTCAGCTTCTGTCAGAAAAGGTTCTTCACCTGAGAGAAACAAGAGATAAATGGCTACCTGTGTCTTAGAGTGTACAATTATAACATGAATTTACCTGTGAATGAAATGCAGTGATAGAGACCATTGAGTTATTCAACTTTCACTATTCTTATTAAGCATCAAGATAGAGCCATTTTAATTTGCAGATATTAGAATTGATAGATGAGTACAACGAAGGACTGGATTTTTCTTGATTATATTTGTCTGCTGTGTGGGAGGAGTTACTAAAAGATGTTGGTACAGAAATGGTGAGAAACATTGACTGAACTGTCATTTTAACTATGAGGTTTAGGAGGAGGAGGAGGCTGGGGTTTTTTTTTTGTTTGGGGGGCAAACAAAATCTCTATGAAGAAATTCACTTGCCTGTAAGCTAAAATTGGATAGTCTTATTTTCCATTTTGCAAACTGTTATGTATTTAAGTTTTAGATGCTTGCAGCAAAATTCTTTTATATATATAAGTGAATCATATGTGTGAATCATATGTGTGTGTGAGAACGTAATATATTAATTACGCAAAAAAGCCTACCTTCACTTATTTTGGGACATTGGTGGGGAGATAAAGCAGTGATCTTTTTTAAAATACAACCGTTTGGTGAGTGGTTATATCACAAATAATTTGGTACAGAAGGAGTAACTTTGTCCTCTCCTAATTTCCTGTCCAGTCCTTAAATTTGACATCACTGATGCTAACTGGCATAAGTAGTTCAACCCTCAATCAGAAATACATTGCAAAAGACATTGTGAAGCTTATTTCTTTTAAAGTGTCAGAATACTTATTCGTGCACTATTACATTCATGCAGTAAATCATACTTCAGATGTAGGATCCTATAACTTCCTTGGTAAACTATGGGGTTTTCCAACCAGTGTAGCAGCAAATTCATAACCAAAACTAAAACACATCATTTAATTTAAAATAAATAAATAAAAGCTGAGAGAGAAAAGATCGCCAAACCTCTTTTTCCGAGACACTGAAAAAGGAATTTGGCTTTTAAGTAATGAAGTGATAACCATTTGTTTATTTTATAAAAATGCTAAATGATGGAAAAAACTGTTAAATTGTAAAATGCAAGTAATTTTCCACACCCTGTGAATACAGGAGAGGACCGGCTGGTAGACACTGCAAATAGTAGGTTTTAAGTAGCTGTAACTGGTTCTGTTGTCAAACCCCGCAGCGTGTGTGTCCTGACCTTCCCTTGCAAAGGACGGGTTGTGTGCGTGGGGAGGAGGGAGGGACCAAGGGGAGCGGGGTTTCTGGCTAGAAGCCTGTTCTTGTTTAGATTTCAGTGGCAGAAGGCCTGACCTCTTTCTGCTTTCTTGTTCTCTTTTCTGTGCAATTTCATGGTGGCTGACTGGCTTCATGATTAGTCGAAAATAAATCGGGAGTTGATTCTTACTCCCTTCCCGCCCGTGGCCCTCTGTAGATAGGTCACTGCCTCTGAAGTTTTTAGAAGAATGTCAGTTTTGACTCTGAGGAACTATATTGTCTGATTAAGTTTCTTTACAAGAAATCACATGTGAATTCCATGAAGTCCTAATGAACGCATAAAAGTACAGAGGAACATTTTTTAGAGGGTAGTCTTAGATTGGTTTCTTCTAGGTGACTGTTATGGAAGTGGTGACTAAACCTCCATGATGTTAATTATCGTGATCTTGGTTGTGGATTTGTTGTTTTGCTTTGTTGATTTTTTTTTTTGTTGGTTTTTGTTTTGTTTTGCTTTTTTTAACCAGACTTAGCTGGTTTGCATTTATGGAAAACTAATTTCTTCTTTTGCATCTCTTCCAGTAATAGTTATGCACGAGTGCGAGCTGTGGTGATGACCCGGGATGACTCAAGTGGTGGATGGTTACCACTCGGAGGGGGTGGACTAAGCTGTGTCACAGTCTTCAAAGTCATTCCCCAGGAAGAGAATAGCTGTGCTGATTTTCTTATCCATGGAGAACGACTCAGGGATAAAACGGTAACAATTTACATCCATTTAGTGTTGCTGTTAAAACTACATATGACCTAAGAATAGATATTTGCTTATTGTTGCTTCTAGACCAGAAAGTAAATTCATAGTGTCAGTCTAACGCTGTTGCTGAGCTTTTATCTATATCAAGGTTTATATACCTAAAGAGCCAATTATATGTTTTAGGTGTAATATTATGCATTTCTAGAAGCAAGCATGTTGATCTCTTGGAATCTTTAAAACTTATTTTTTTCATTGCAGATTTCCATCCATTTGGGGAAACGTTTTTCTATTCAGTTCTTTTTTTCCAGTAAAGGGTTAAAGTTAAAGCTTCCTGTTAACCTATTTATACATCAATGATATTGTGTTTAATAGGAGTGTTGGAAAATGAGATAAACTTGTTAAAAACACAAAATCTGAATGAATTACTCAGTAATGATTCAGTTAGTTGTGCAATTTGGCTATGAGAAAAAGCAGCCATTTTACATGAAAACAACTTTTGTACTGGAAGAAAGCATGAAGCTGACAGGCCCCCAAACTGATGTGGTTTATCAGGTATATTAAGTAAATTACTAGTAATAAACTTGTGTTAAATAGTATCACAAAAGTTATCCTCACAAAAGGAAGCCTGTGCTGTAGCATCTCAGCTGTTTCTACATGCAGACCTGCAGAAGACAAAATTGGCTGATGAAGACTTGCCTGGTTTCTTCTGTGCCAAATGGGTTTGTGAAGGGGGGGAGATAGAGGATGTCTTCCTGTGGGAACAAAGAGAAGTGGGGAAAGCGCAAAACCTCCATCTTAATGACTTTATCAAGAACTTACTATTTTCTGCCAATAACTTACAACTCCTGTGTGAGCTTAAAAGGTAGAATTACTTCTTATTCCCTACTGCTGACTCTTTCTCAAGCATACCAGTTTCTCCCTGGAGGCAGGACTGCTGAGTTTTTTGCCTCGACTGTGACTGTTGTAGGAAGGGAGCATATAAATAGAAATTCTGCTGACTCAGTTGTTTCAGCGAGGCGTAGTGCTATTAGCAGAGTACCCTGTGTTCCCGCACAGCTATGTGCACCTGCAGTTCCTTCCTCACTTTGCAGTAGTTCCCTTTAGAACTTTTTTTAGCCTTATTGAGGCTGGTTTTGAGGAGCTTAATTGCATTTAGAAATACTTGACAATTTTCCCTTAACTCTTAATACTTTCGACATTCACAGCTTGCCTGTGGAATCCGAGGGTAATAAAATGCTCAGAACTGAAGGCTGGTTTAATGTTTCTCCCGCACGCAGATGAAAATGTCGCAGCCATCAGCCTCCTGATCTGTTTGCTCTCTCCTGCACAAGCCTTGTTTCGTTTCCATTTCTGGGAGAAGGCTTAAATCTACCTGCTCCTTTTGCTGTCCAAAATCTAGCTCATGTTAGTATGAACATGTTTTCCAAGCCATTATTCTCCTGAACAAGTTTTTGTTTTGTTTTGTTTTTTCCCCATTTTATTGTGTGTCTCCTGTCCTGTGTCCATCTCTCCTGCTCCAAATGTGACCTACTAGTCTGTCGGGGCAGATTTTGATGTTACTGCAGTTGTAGGAAGCTGCTGTTTGAAGTCAGCCCCTCAAAAACATGGGATAAAAGATGGAAGAAATGCAGCTGGGAAGAACATCACTCCAATGTGTGTTGAATAAAACTCAGCTAACTAACAAATACAGGCTTACGCTGTGAGGAAGAATACTGAAAAGCCAGCGATGCTCTGGTAATGGAGTAAAAGGAAGCTATTTATGCATGTATTTCCTCAGACTTCAAATAACGCACTTAAAAGCAACAGCAACAGCCTAATGAATTAACAACAAAGTTGCACAGTATGCAACAAGACCTTCCTTAAAAATGGAAGTAATGCTTACAAATGGAGTCTTCCCCTCCCTGTCACATTACACACTGTTAAAATACCTTTATAACTAGATTATATTTTTATTTCCTCTGGCCAGTAAGTCTATTATTTCATGAAATGGCTTAGCTTCCAGAAGAAGTACAGAAATTCCTTTACGCTGGAAAACCCATAGAGTGGATCTTGGAGTGCTTTTCTGGAACGCAGGGAAGCGTGGGTTTTGAAATACCTCAGGTTGGAGAACAAATGGAATTCTTATCCATGGCTTTTACCTACGATACCTGGGGAACATAATGCCAGTGTTACTGGTCAACCTATGTGTCAGTAGAAGGGTGGAACTTACTCCAAAGCAACTTGAAATCCATACGTGGGGTATTTGATGGAGGTATCTTCCAGATGCCTATTAAATGGTTATACTCAAAAAGAATGAGAGATACCTTATCTCTTCTCTTATAGTTTCTTGTAAACTAGCTTTAGTTGCTGCTTTTCCACATCCTGCTTCCTACACCACACTGCAACTGCAATGGGCCAGATCTCTCCGTATATTTTATAGGATATGTGGGCATTTAATTAGGACTGGAGATCTCAGTCTTTAAGTCAGCTCTATAAATTAAATACTTTGGGACTTAACATCAAATATTGAAGTTCCTTGTTAGGGGGAGGCTTCTCATCGTTTCCTTTATGTACCTGAGAGTTAGATTGCTATTGGCCCTTTTACGATCCAGCTTCAGGCTACACGTAGAGCTTCCAAAACCTTCGTGCAGTACTGAGCTATTTAAAACCTCTCATGGGGTTCACAAAAAGCATCCTAGTTATCTGAGAAGAAAATCAAAGTGGTGGCACCGTGGAATTAATTTAGGAGAGGGAATGCTCCCTGCTAGTTTGCTCAGGTTGTTTAGATCTGCGTTGGAATGTAAGGGTATTTTGTGAAGACTTTGATATAATTGCACGTTTCCTCCTTTATTATACTCGCCTTCCTAGATCTGGCTCCAGCCTGTCTGCTTGGAACAATCACACTCCCTCCTAACCTGGTCAGGTCTGGTGCTCTCTCTTACTGTGTTTACAGTAGCTCTCTTCTATCTTAATAGCACTAGCGTTAAACATACATTAGGCTCAAGCTTTTTTAGGCTTCGGTGAATCTTACATTCTTGAATGAAAAGTCTAATAGACTTCTCTGCTCTGTTTTCTTCTGCAGTCCTTTGCCGTACAAGGTTTTACTGAAGGGGAAAAAAAAAAAAAGAGGCTAGTATCTTTCAGATCATGTGTCAGGAGTGACAAATTAAAGTTTAAAATCTTGCTTTTGAAGAAAAGGTAATTGTGTGAAGGGAGAGATACAAGCTGAAACTAGATATAAGTACTGTTCTCTTCCAAAAATCTGCAGTTCAAAAAAATTTATCATTTATTTTTTAAATTGGCTTTAAAGTTTGATAAAAGATTCATTCTGATGGACTGTAGTACAGTCCTTAGATCATCTTACCTTTTGCACTGAAAAAACATCGCACGCAGAAGAATAATCATATTCCAGGGTCATGGTGGCACTGGGGCCACACGTAGCATGTGTGTGCTTGGGTCACAGTGCTTGATCCCAAGGCTGGCTTGAAGAGGGCTTTAAACAAAAGTTGGTGGCCAAGGGGGGAACTTCAACCCATCCCAGTCCTACCAGTTTGATGCCAGTGCCAGCAAGAGATGCCCAGAGCCTGGAGAAGGACCACTGGTCAGCGGGAGAGCACCTGGAGTGCAGCACAGGGGAATTCCAGCCAGGAAAGCTCATCAGAGTCCCAACTTAAATCCCTCTATGCAAATGCAGGTAGCCTGGGGAATGAGCAAGAGGAGTTAGAGACCTGCACACACCTGCAGGGCTGTGATCTTACTGGCATCATGGAGGGATGAATCCCCACGGGGGTGGGATGGCTTCTATGACTGGAGTTTACTTCAGTTTTACTCCCATAGTTTATCTCCAGTGTTACCATCTTGTAAAAATATTTGTCACACAGGTATGTATTTTCAGTATAAAGTGATACAGAGTAACTCCTTTGAGAGCAGGTGTTCATTGAGATGCTATAAAATCAGTTCTTGCATTACTTTTTGTTGATATTTTGGGTGAAACTGCACACAAAATACAGTGTGAAAATAGAGGGTGTTTAATATATTAGAGATCCTCCAAAAGTGCTCACAGACCTAGAAAATGCAGTGATGGGAGAAATCTTCATTCTTAAACTTGCTTCCTCCTGAAAAGAGGAGTTTGAAATCATCAAAAGGAGCAAAGAATGATCTTTTAATAAACCTTAGACCTTTTTTTTTTTTTTGCTGCAGCACCTTTTCTTGCGCTTCTACAGCAAATAGTTAGATTCCTTCTTATGCTTTCTTGTAGGCAGTTGTATCTACATATTGTTGACCATTTAGGGAATTCAGAGTGGAGTAACAAAAATTACTTTAATGCTGAAAGAGTTTATGCGTGTGGAAAGAATGTCATCCTTCTAGAGACAGAGCTAAAAGGCAGTAAAACTTGAGATGATTAGTGGTGGGGTGTAGGGTAGGGGGAATAAATAATGAAGAGCAGGGGAAAAAAACCTCTTTGCCTCTAATAATTAGGCAAGAAAAGGAGAGGAAGAACACAAAGGGTATATACGAATAATCTAGTACAGACAGTCACTTTTTTGACATTTGGAGATTATTTTTTTTTTCTCAGTTTATAATTAAGCTCATTTTTCCACATACTGGAAAGGAATCTTTTTCTTAAAAAAGCTGTATATGTAACAATTAAAAATGAAAACAATAATGTTGGAATGACAGAATATTACAGTTCCTCATTCACCTCTCAGTACAGGATTTGAGAATGTGTTAGTAATGGAGAGCCACAGGTTGCCTTGCTGTGTGTTTTACTGTACCTAGTACGACAGGAGCAGATCAGTACATGTCCCTCTGTGCTTTCTTGTTCATCTTGCATTTTTTTTAATTGAGAAACATTCGATGTAACAATGTTGTACAAAATAATTTTTGCAGGAAAATTAAATATGCAAATACATCTTTAAATTGTCTCGATTTTAAGTGGGGCAATGCTGTAAAGACTGCGACTTTGCTTCCTAACTGAATGTGCGTGTATATCTGTAATGGTTTTGTAGCCAAATAATTCTGTTAACTATTCCTAATTACTGTTTTCAATATAGTAGAACATGAGACATAAACATATTTGTGTCTAGGTACAGGCAGTAATACATACAAAAAGATTTTAGTTTTGGTTAATTTCAGGTTTTAAAACAATTCTCCTGTATTATTTTCTCTTGTGTAGTAGCCTTTCTGGGAGGAAACTGGTATCACCTGAATGTACCATAAAGTTAGCCCAGTGCTCAAAAATTTTACAATTTTAATTGTAACTTAATTTTAATAAAATTCCCAGTGATACAGTAACACTTGATATCAGCACAGCAATATTTTTTCAGGGTGTGGCCTGTTTGATTTGCTGAACATGTAGCAAGTCTGAGGCTGGGAAGATTCACTGGGTATACAAATAGTGTCCTTAACCCATGTCACCTGCCAGCAAGTGTTAGCCAATGGTTTGGCCATAATGGAAACATTACATCCGTGTTAACAGGAAGAAATTTAAACAGAGACTTTGATCTGCTCTCATGATGTATGTTTTCAGGTAATTCACGAAGACTACATTTTATTCTCAAGTTTGATATATGAGTCAGTGATATCTTTTCCTCCTGTCTTCTTTCTGGAAGGTGGTCTTGGAATGCACATTAAAGAAGGACCTCGTTTACAACAAAGTTACTCCTACTTTTTACCACTGGAAGATTGATGACAAGAAGTTTGGCCTCACATTTCAGAGTCCTGCTGATGCAAGAGCATTTGACAGAGGCATTCGGAGAGCAGTAGAGGATATTTCTCAAGGTACATATTTCAGGTGAAGGGGATGGTGGGGAGAGGGGGTGTTTGGAGTGTTTAGTAAATAAGTCAAAGCACTTTCCATAATGTTAATGCTGACAGTGTTTAAGGATGTGGATTGATCTATAACATACTGAGATTTGAACAGTTTTTAAATAGTACTTCTGGCATTTCTAAAGTGCCATTCATCCAAGTGTCTAAGTTGTTTACATTGTTTCACAAACACTAATAAGATAATTCCCGGAAACATCCCTGTATAAAAGCATTGGCTCTTTTTTAGAGATGAAGAAATGGAGGAAGCTAGAGTGTCATAGTGGCTTACTTGGATCATCTTCTCATGCGCTTGTTACAGCTTCTGTGTAAGGGGATAAGCTATGGAATTGAATGATTTGAGAGCCGTTGAGTTCTCTTTTTATCTGCAAATAGTTTCAGTTTATGGTCTTATTTATTTACTAACAGCTGGCAGAGTAGTTCTGAGGACAGGTTTATATGGGATGGTAGAAGAATTTACTCTCATATTAATATGGCTGACTGGTGCCAGAGCTTCACTGGCCTTGTGGAAACTAGTGAGCAAACTAAAGATCATCAAGCCTTGATTTTGAGCTGAAAAATATGATAAATGTATTGCTGGATGGAGAAAGGAAGGGAGGGGAGAGAACAGGTATCTATTGAATGGAAAGAATATCTCTTTCAGGCTTGTAAAAAGTAACTCAAAAGGGAAAATTTAAACAAAATATCCTGTGCTGTAAGTTTAGGGATTTAATGTGTGTTGCTGTATTAGCAAAGGGAGAAACAGGTTTCTGAAGGGAAATGCTTTTTGACATGCTAGAATGACTTCTTTTGAATTGTGCTGATGTTGTCCATAATCCCTGTAAGAGAAATAATTAGACAATATAGGAGTCCTTTTCTCTCTTAGGGTCTCTCAGTCCCAATTTCTGCTGATTTGTAGCAAAACATAGCACAGTGTGCATTCATGACAACCAAGTGTATCTGCCTTTAATTTTCAAAATGCTACATTAACAAGAATATTGTTGCCTCTGACTTCTGATAACACTTTGGAAATGCTTTTACAAGAAAGTGAGCAATAGAGAGGAGTGTGGCTGGGAGCGCTCAGCATATAAAATACAGAATGTAGAAATGAATGGCATTTATTAAAATCAACTTGAAATACAGTGATCTACTGGCTAAAAAAAGTAAACAAGCATATTTATATTATCATAGCTCAATATTGAAGGATGATGTGTGGACTACTGGAAGCAGTAAACTGTAAAGAAAAAGAAAATAACTTTGTCTATTTTGGTTTTGTGTTTTTACTTTTTCTGTAGGTTATCCACCCTCCCAAAATGATGTTGAAGTGGCAGAGGACTGCTTTCAAGTGAGTATTTAAATTTTTAAATTAATTGTGCAGTTATTTTTTGAAGAAATCAATTGAGCAATTTTTGTTTTCATTAATGAGAATAAGGAAAATAAGAGCAATAGCAAAATTCTGTTTAATGAAATAAGTTCCAGAACAGTTATCTAGAGGATTTACGATATTGTCTGTCATAAACTGAGTAGACAATATTTAATCAATAGGATGATTAACCATCCTGAGTTTAATTTTTAAGTTTATGATGTCTGTTCTAGGCTTTGTGTCCTCCTTGAACTCACGGAAACATGAAATATTCTTCTGTGCGATTAAAAAAAGAAAAAAAGAGGGGTCAGGAATCTTCTTTTTCATGCATATTCTATTTGTTTCCCTAGATTTCACTCTGCAGTGATAGACACTTCTAACATTGAGAGTGCTGAGGCAACAGTTAAAAGTACCTAGTCCAAACAGGAACAGAAGTTCAGATCATTTTTAAAAACACACTGAAGATAAAGCAGTCACTTGTTGAGATTCAAATTTTTATCGATCCCTAATTTGCACCTTTCAATTTCAATAGGTCATAATGGCATAAGAGGTAAAAAGTTATCTCCTGCTGTGCTTCAGAGCTGTAGTGCTTTACACAAATACCATATCACGTACTGTAACACTGAAGTGTAGCACTTGGTAATATCCAAGAATCCGTGTAATTAAAAAGCCAGTATGGACAAATATTTTGGATACATATATATAGCAAACAGCTGTAACACAACTGAGTAAAAACCTACTTGTGTCTGTGTGTGCTTGTCATCTCTTCTTTCCTATTCACGGTTTCAGGGCAAGTCTTGGCTTTATTCAAATACATTCAGTTTTCAGAGTGCAGATATTTAAATTAATATAAAGCTGATACAGAAGCACGTTGACTCAGGGTTCTTAGTGACTATTTAGAAAACTGATAGTATTCCTAAGTGGTTTCTTGAGGGAAAGAGTTTTGTTGTTTATGCAATATTCAATTCTTTATTGGTATAGATAGGTGCAATGTAGAACCTCTGCACAAAATGAACACAAAAATGAAGAAAATTAGCAGCCTACTTTGAAGATATGGGTAAGAATAAAATCATGGTAGGATACTGCAATGCAGTGGCAATGCAGAAGAGAATCCTGATTTCTCTCCATTTTATGGTAGAAGAAATGTATCTCTCTGTAAGTGTTGGCTGTGCAACCACCTGTTGTTCTTTATTTGCAGTGCTTTATTTTAAGTCACTTTAAAGTAAAATGACTATAAATATTAGATATTTTGGATTTAAAATGGGAATGAGGTTTTGACAGGGTAGAGGAAATGTGTGCCAAAGTTAATGCAATCCTTAATCAGCTTTTAAAAGACTTGTTTAAACATGCTTTGTTGCAAGGATTAATAATTGAGCAATTTCTACAGGCCTAATGAGATTAGAGGAAACTAATTACCTCTTGATTATGCTGCCGAGTTATTACATTTCTATATAAGGATGCCAAAATTGAAGAAAACATCTAGAATTCTTTATATTTACAAAGTTTGTTATTGCTAAAGTGGAGAAAAGTGTATTTACATCATTTGTTCTTTGTAGATATAGATATATTTAGATATGTAAATAGATGATGTAGGCCTAATAGTATTTTTTACCCCACCCCTTTTATTCTATAAGCTGTTTTCCCAAGTCTCTAGTAGTATTTTTGAGTAAGTTTAGGAGTATATCTGTACAAAGGCATTTTAGAGTGTGGCAAGAATGTTAAAGAGCAGGTTCACAGATATGAGGGCAATGGGATGATGTTTCATCAGAACAGTCTTCCAGAATTGTAATTTGTAACCTCTAAGGAATGGAGTACAAAAGATCAAGCAGTGGAGCTCTTCCGTTTAATTAAAAAATATTAAGTAGTTAGAAGTTGTTCCTAAAATGCAGGATATCAAAAAGAGAAAAGGGTTATTTCACACTTATTTTTGGCCTGGTTTGAGTGGCCAGTGCGACCTAATCCATGACACTTTTCACAGCATGTTTGTTAATGCACTTACACTTTTGTCTATACCCTGTAGTAACTGTCATGTATTTGTACTCTTCAGTTTCATTTCTTTCTTCATTAGCTAGCGTGGTAGGTGAAGTCCCCAGGATGTCATCAAGATACGTTTGAAAATATTAATGTTAATAGGTCTTTGTCAGTTCTATCATCTGCTGTCAAGGTGCTTTGCCTATGCTGTTTTAGTTATCTCACACGGCAGGAGTTCTGTATTTAGTGCATATTTGAAGTATGAATAGAGCATGTGGTTTGTACATAAATTTCATTTGCAGTGTTTTTTCAAAAAATTAAGATGATAGTGATGAAGAAAGCAACACATGCTTCCTAAGTTACTTTACTGGCTAGTAAGACAGTTTAATAGAACAATAATGGAAAATGAAAGTAGCAATAATAATAATAGCACAAGAATATACAAAATGAAGTGATACAACAAAAGTTGCCATCACCACTCAAAGATCAGTTGTCCAGCCTGTCCCAAGCAGCGATCACTGATCCCTACCCCCTTTGGGGTGGGATGTCTGTGCTACAGAATATTCCTTTGGCCAACTTCTCCTGTCTGTGCTCCCTCTCAGCTTCTAGGGGAAGCTGAAAAAAGTCCTTGACTAACATCAACATTACTTAGCAACAATTGAAAGAATTTCTGTTATCAACATTATTCTTATACTAAATCCAAAGCACAGCAGCTACCAGAAAGACAGTTAACTCTATCCCAGCTGAAACCAGGACACTTGGGTCACTGGATTTTCTTTTTTTAAACATTATTTAAATAAAATCTCACAGAGAAATCAGTCTTCTAACTGAAGATCAAATTGATCATTTTAAGAAGACATAGCTTCATTATAGCTTCTTTAGATGCTCTTTAGATTTGTTCACAAATAATGTTAAAATTTTAGTATCACTTAAGATGTAAAGGATGCTTAAATGATTACAATTACTCTTAGTTGTTTAAAGAGCATATTGTATGCAAATTGTTTGTATCATTGAATAAGCCTTAGTCTTACAAGATTAATTTCAAATAGAAATCCACAAACGAGTTAATGCAGAGCTATTTGACTTCCTGTACTGTTGGTAAATGGATCCTGAGTATGTATATATACTTACATGGAAATATACACTGGGCATTTGTTTTGGTAGGTTTGGATTTTTTGGTATAAAACCAGGCATTTTGACTGCAGTAGAGAAGCAGCTTGTCTAAGTCAGTTTCTTGTTTATTCAAAGACTGGTTCAGATTCTTTGCCTCTACGAAATGTAAACTTCTTGCTCTAGAACTTCTCTAGCTCAACTGAAAAAATGTGAAAATCAGATATATTTTTTTTCTTAAAATGCAATCTAGAACTTGTGCATTTAAAAGTATTATGTGGGTTTTGGGCACTGAAATGTGAACGTCTTGCTTTTGAGTACTGAAAAATAGAGCAGTTGAGTCTTCATTTCTCTCAGGTTTTATTGATTCAGCCATACTGGTGTTATTTATAGGCTACCAACACATTTTAACAGGTTTGAAATAATATGAAATGGGGCACTTACACTTTTGAGTTTCTTACTACTGGCAGCAGAAAGCTGTAGACTGGTAAATTATAAGCAGAAAAAAAGTTTGCCTTGTTCTTTCAGAACTAGGTGCGTTGGGTTTTTTGTCAATACGAAGGTGAAAAGCCCTGGAGGTCACATGCGTCTTACATGGTTCTGGTGCAGGCAAGGAGGACAGAAATGGTTAATGTGTCCCATTGTAAACACACTATTTAGTGAGCTCTTTGTAAATGCACTATTTAGTGCATCGGGTTTATTTTGTCTATAACAAAAGGTTCACAGAATTTTTATTTTACAAAAATAACTCGACTTTATGATTTGTAAGAAAACGTAAAATGATTTACCCTTGATGCTGTGTTGGTTTTGTGGAGAAGAAAATACTACATGATAAACAACCAAAGATTAGCACTATGTAGTGCACTTAATAAATTGGCTAGGTGAAGTTTGTAGAACTCAATGCAATACTAATTGATATTATCCATTTAAAATAAACCTAATAATATATTGTGCCAAAATTACTTGGTTTATTAAGCTTTTTTTGTGGAGTAGTATTCAAAAAAGAGAAGGAAATTATATTTATTTTTTTTCCTCACCAGTATCCCTACCATCCTCTTCACATCTCCATCTCTCTCTTATTTCCTCAGTTACACTTTGTGTTTTAATTTATTAGTTCCTTCCTTGGAATCTCTAAAAACCTCTAATATACTTTATATATTCAGGTAGAACGGCCTTGGAAGAAAGAGGCATGTTAAATGCCATATTTTTTTACTTTACTCTGAATGTTTTATACAGTTTAATCTAGGTAATATTTCAGTTGATGTCAGAAATATATACCTGATTATAATAGAGTTTCTTTGCCAAATATGAAAGTAGTTGCTCCATCAGTCTTAAAAATAGCTAAAGCAGAAGGAAGTTATTCAAATGTCTTTGAAACCCATATCATTTATTCACAGTTAAAAATTAAGGAAAAAACATTTAAGCTTCTTGTGTTGGTTAGCATCAAACAGCAGATTTTCAGGCCTCATGGGAAGTAAATACAAGAACTAGGATGCAACGGAAATGTGGCCTCTCATCCATCCTTCTGTGTAATCATTAAACTTACTTAGAGCAGAACATTTTTAACAATGTTTGCAGAACAATGTTGAATTCTCTCCCAGACTTAACTCTGGCAAACTGGGAGAAGTAAGGAGAGAAAATTTGAAGAAGAGAAGCTCAGTCTGGTTTTCATTTTCTCTACAGCTGTCATCTGGCTTTGAATTCTGCTGGAGAGCTACAGCTGGAGTCATTTTATTGCTTTACCCAGCATCCTTTTGCCTGCGCGCACAGAAATGTTTTAGTAGTCTTGGAAAAAAATGCAGAGTATCTCTTAGCAACCATAGGACAGTAATTATTATACCAGCAGCTGGGAGCAAACCAGATTTCCGTTGTGCATTAAAAACTGGCGTAGGTTACTTTACAGATGATAGTGAATAACCTGTGCCAGTACTGTACTTTGCAGGCTGTGGGTAAAGGATATTGAATGTGGGCGGTGTAATTGCTTTGGACAGTAGAAAAGGGGAATGTGTGCATCTGTGTTTGTGTGTAGTACTCTCTATATTTAATATACCAAGCTTAGTTCTTGTGGAAAACTTTACATGTTTGCTTTTTACTTAAATGCATTTTCAATACAATAGCGTTTTTGTTTCTGGGGCCTCTCCCTTCGGGCTGTCAGTGTTTCCGTTATAAACATGGGGTTTCAGGTGTTGATGACCTTGTCATGAAACGTCGCATCAGAGCGGGCAGTGTCATCCAAAGGCAGCCTTTCTGATACTAATAAATGTCGTTTGGCTGTATCTAAACTATCAGTTCAATTAAAACCACGGAGTTGAGGATGTTCCTCTGGCATTGCCGTAGTGCTGCACAGTGACTGCTCGCAGCTCGGCCGGGCCGTGACTGACCTGATGGCTCTTCATGTTGTGACAAATGCCAGCGGTGAGGCTGTGCCCGCTTACCTGCCGTGGCTGGGTTGGTTTCCAAACAGCTGTCTCACCAAGTTCTTGCCCTGCAAAGGTCAGATGCCTTTCTCTGTCTCCCGCCACCCCCAAATTTGTCCTTGAAGTCAATTAGCTTGAATTGTGGTGTCTGTGGTGGAATTTTATAAAAGCATTCCTTTATAATTGCTGCGTGTAGGGCACAAAGGCGCGCTTTAAGATTAAGGTTTGTGTTTCATACATCAGTGTCTGGCTGCGGCAGTTAGCGCTGCAATAGACGATCAGTGCCCGTATCCTTTATTAGATAGAGCCCTTCTTGACTGCCGAGGGGAGCATGTGCATGTGTCTTTGTGCTCTATGGTGTAGGTAGTTTATTTCAGAAGAAAAAACAGGTGTGAATCGCCTGCAGGGCCAGGAAATAATGCAGCCTGTTGCAAATCTCACCCAGGGATAAAGACTGGCTTGTGGGCAGTGTGTGTTTTCTCCCTGGGAAGGAAGGAGTAGTAGTTTTTGCAGCTCTCATCCTTCTCCCTCCACCACTCACGTTGATGATAGCTGGGGGGGTAAGAGGGTTAGATAGTGCTTATCACCGTGGTTTCTGTAAAATGGCTTCTAGCTGTTAAGTGTGTTCCTAGCTTAAATAGTTTCTGCTTGTAAGCATTTATAACATTGCTCAAACCAAAAATAGTTGTAAGCATTTCTTCCTCATTCTGAATGCAGCTCTCCTGTGGTTTGAACCAGTGTTTTGGAAGCTTTTTATGTCATTGGGCAATGTATCTGCAGGAGTCCCTCCTGCTAGGAAGATGTTTGATAGCGCACTAATACTTGATGCTTTTTGCTCTTAAAATAAGTATACATCCATGAAATCTAACTCTTGCCACCTTTTTCAACATTTCTTTGGTATTCCTTTCCCAACAGTGCTTGACCAGAAAATTTAATTTTGATAGCAACAGGGTCAATTGCTTAGTGGAGTTTGCATGCTCAAGGCTCTGAAAAAAGTACTACTTTCTGGAGTTTTGCCTGTGTTCAGAATTTTTCAGTGGAACTTTAACGTGATTGAGCTATTGTCTTTCATGGGGTGTTAGCTCTTTAGTATTAATTAAAGCTGATCATTATTAATTACTGATTTTAATGTTTTTCCACTCAGAGTGCTTCTGAACAATATATAAATTCTTAGCGATGTGATTATTTTCTTTTTCCTAAGGATCAATTACAGAAAAGCTACTTCCACTTCAACTAGATGTCTTAGAACTCGATACACTAGGCTTCTATGTATGCGAGGTGCTAATGTAATCCCAGAACAAGTTCCTTAAGTATTTTGATAAATGAAAATTAATGATTCAGTGTTAGTACTTAACCTGCCAAAACTTCAGGTTTGCCTGTGCCTCAGTAGTTTTCTGCAGTATTTTTATTGTTTCCCCCTTTGTGTTTTCTTGATATATACAAATCTTTATGGTAAAGCTGAAACATTCTAATTGCTGGAAGTTGAATAATGCCAGAATTTTCTCAGTGCTATCAGATGATGACAGCCAGTTAACTTTACAGCGTCTCTCAATACAAACAAAACATTCTACAGCACATATTTTGGCAGCCCAATGGGATTTGTATCAATATGCTCTACAGTATCCTAAGTGTATATCCCAGTCAGTTAAGCTTAAAGAGTGAGAACTGTTTGTGTTTTCTGTTCTTTTCAGAAATTGGATCCTCTCACAAGCCAATATTCCACCCAAACATACTTCCTCTTCCTTACTCTGAGTGGCACACGTCCTGCAGATATCTCATTATATGTTGCCACATGGTCTCATTTTTATATCAAATTGCCTGATATAGCCTTAATTTCAAAAAGACAGTCATTAGTTGTTTAATACACACTTGCTGTAATTAGATATTTTAATTGAGGCAGTATATGTTAAAACTGACTTTCTGTTCCTTTCCAGCTGATCTTGTTTTTAATTTATTAAAAGGTCTGAGTTGCTTTTGCCTTAGTAGTCTCAGAATATTTTTTTTTTCCTCCAATTGTATATTTGTAGATACTGGCAGCCTTGTGGGTAGTTAGAGAAAGCATAATCTCAGAGACTGATCTAATCTCTGCTTCCCTAAAGAAGTTCCTCACTCCGATTTAGCAACTGAGTTAAAGGCGCAATCCCAAGTCTAATGCCCAAGTTATGTACGCTCTGCAGAGAAGGAACTCTTACTTTTCCAAGGCTGACTCTTAGTAAAGAAAATAAGTATTAAAAAAATATGTATTTAAAAATACTTGTGTTTATAGATGCCTCTAACATGTTATGTAGAATATTCATGCATTTATGTATGAACTTGGTGGGTTTGGTGTGGTTTTTGTATAAATGCAAAATCATTTCAAGGGAATTTTTATGTATTCTAGACTACTCAAGAAAATACATCAGGTTCATTAATGAAAGATCACCTTTTCCAACACGAAACTGTAGTAACCAGTGAACCTTACAATGGTGCAAATTTAAGGCCTTCAGCATTTGAGGATTTCAACACCAGGAGAGCCTGTTTTCCCAGCCAACCAAACCAGGTAAGACTACCAGCAAAAGCAGCGGTTCTTACTTCACTGCATTAATGGCACAGTGTGGAGTTTCTGACAAGCAAGCACTTCCATTCTGAGTCCCTGTATGTAGTGTTGTACTCTGAACTTCTTGAAATGATCAGTATAAGCTTTGCAGCAGAAATATTGCAGCATTATTGTGGCAGAGGTAGAGCTTTGTGAAGGTATTTACCTGTGCTTGTGGTACAGCAGATTACATGAATAAATCTTCCCGTTTCCTTGAAGTCAGATTTCTGTATCTGCAGCCTTGAAAAGCTGTTTAAATTTGTTCAGAAAGCGTTAACTGGCCTCGAGCTCAATCTGGGTTATGTGTATACTAATACTGTTTTGATTAGAAATACTGAAAAGTATCTTTAAAATGCATATCTTGGGTGCATTACACAGTGGGGCACTTCTGCTAAATATTTTTGGTGAAATACCGTTTGTGCTTTCCAACTGCCTATTTAAACTGAAATATTCTATTTCGGTCCAGAAAGGAAAACAGTGTATCTGTTATGCATGAAAAGTATTAAGGTATTGGTAAACAGATTCTGAAAACAGGGAAAAAAACCCAGTAACATGAGGAAGGCGGATGTACAGACATTTTTAAAAAAGAGGTCATATTTATAGAACATTAGTTTGGAAAGGCAATGTTGCAGCTTTTCCTTTAACAATATACATTTTGCTTTTTTCTAAGCATCAAAGAACTGACTATTGGTAAACAGATTCTGAAAACAGGGGAAAAAACCCCAGTAACATGAGGAAGGCTGATGTACAGACATTTTTAAAAAGAGGTCATATTTATACAACATTAGTTTGGAAAGGCAATGTTACAGCTTTGCTTTTTTTTTTTGCTTTTTTCTAAGCATCAAAGAACTGACAGTTTTTGTAGACTGTAGAAATAGACTTAATAGTGAGTTGGATAATAATTAATTTGAGAGCCTTACACCTAGAAGCAAACACATGGGAGGCTTTTTAGAATAAGCTTAGTAACAAGTCAAAGCTGAATGTAAGTTCAAGTAGTTGTGAAACAGCAGATTACATGAATAAATCTTCCCGTTTCCTTGAAGTCAGATTTCTGTATCTGCAGCCTTGAAAAGCTGTTTAAATTTGTTCAGAAAGTGTTAACTGGCCTTGAGCTCAATCTGGGTTATGTGTATACCAATACTGTTTTGATTAGAAATATTGAAAAGTATCTTTAAAATGCATATCTTGGGCAGCCTTGAAAAGCTGTTTAAATTTGTTCAGAAAGCGTTAACTGGCCTCGAGCTCAATCTGGGTTATGTGTATACTAATACTGTTTTGATTAGAAATACTGAAAAGTATCTTTAAAATGCATATCTTGGGTGCATTACACAGTGGGGCACTTCTGCTAAATATTTTTGGTGAAATACCGTTTGTGCTTTCCAACTGCCTATTTAAACTGAAATACTCTATTTCGGTCCAGAAAGGAAAACAGTGTATCTGTTATGCATGAAAAGTATTAAGCTATTGGTAAACAGATTCTGAAAACAGGGGAAAAAACCCCAGTAACATGAGGAAGGCTGATGTACAGACATTTTTAAAAAGAGGTCATATTTATACAACATTAGTTTGGAAAGGCAATGTTACAGCTTTGCTTTTTTTTTTTGCTTTTTTCTAAGCATCAAAGAACTGACAGTTTTTGTAGACTGTAGAAATAGACTTAATAGTGAGTTGGATAATAATTAATTTGAGAAGCAAACACATGGGAGGCTTTTTAGAATAAGCTTAATAACAGAAGTCAAAGCTGAATGTAAGTTCAAGTAGTTGTGAACACATCGGGAAATATTTCTGCTCCTTGAAATAAAGCTTTTTAATACTCTCAATCATTTTTGCAAAAAAAGATAGGATTGTATTAAAGTCTTGTATCAGCTGCTTTCGAATTGCTTTATTGGGCAAAAGAAACAGTGTTATCTAGAGAACTAACTACAGAGCTTAAAATTATAACCTTCTGATTTTTAATCATTGATCTGCTTCAATTATCTCTTTGTATATGTCACCTCATATTTTTCCGTCTTCCCATTTCCTTGCAAAGAGAATTTAAAAATTTATTAGACTGGAATAGCTGGGTGATGAGGTTATTGCAGCTAACACTTAACAGCTACAGTCACACCTCATGTATGGGCTCTTACTCTTCACTGAGTTGTACAGAAAAGTGCAGTAGCCTAAAATACCTTCATGTTTTAAGAACACAAGAGCTTAAAATGATAAACTACTGATTTTTAATCATTGATCTGCTTCAATTATCTCTTTGTATATGTCACCTCATATTTTTCCGTCTTCCCATTTCCTTGCAAAGAGAATTTAAAAATTTATTAGACTGGAATAGCTGGGTGATGAGGTTATTGCAGCTAACACTTAACAGCTACAGTCACGCCTCATGTATGGGCTCTTACTCTTCACTGAGTTGTACAGAAAAGTGCAGTAGCCTAAAATACCTTCATGTTTTAAGAACACGTATAGGATTGGCTACTGAGAAAATGATAGTTGAAGCTGTAGTATACAGAGTAGTGCCTGTCTGATAGCAATTTAAATCAGAGTGTCTTAGAAATGACAATGCTAGAATTCACTTCTTGTAGACTGAAGTTATGGGAGATTCCGTGGAAATTTAAGTAGATATTCTTTAAAATATTTTTCTCATATTGTAGCACCACCTGCATCTGACAATCCATGCTTTTTGCATGGTCCTGTGGTGCACACATTTAGAATGTAGGCAAGTCACCAAAATGTCATATTCAGTATGTGCAGATGCTGCAGTGTCTCTGCTGAACTCCGTGTGTGTGACCATGTGGCACAGCAGATCTTGAGCTAAAGACCTGTTTTGTTTCAATTTTGTATAAATAAGTTTGAACACTCTTACTGTGCTTGTAAGTTGAATAGCTCAATAAGTATGTGCTGAAACTGAAGAAGTGATTAATGACAGTTCAGATCTTTACCCCTAACACTTTGACAGTCACTAATGCCCGAGTCCCTCAGCTTTTCAGCTTCTGATACACCAGTGTGTTTAACTTAGTACTTTGTGATGCTGTATCAGCTGCTGGTGTCCTCACCTTGTGGAGCTTCAAGCTGAGCCAAGGCAGGTATGTGTGTTTGAGGAGAGACAGTGCAGGCTACAGTACCAAACAAGGGTCCCTGCCTTGTTTAAAGGTGCACCCCTTCAAGTAAAGTGTAATACGAGCGAGTCCAGTCACCTCAACAAAAATTTTCTGCTAAATTTCCGGTTGGCTAACTATAGTGAGATTCTCTGTGGAATTTCAGTTTGCTGAATATTCTTCCTCCCTTCCTGTTTCAGCTGTTACACAGAGATGGCACTTGTACTGAGTTCTAACTTTGAATGGCTAGAGGACTATGGGCGTTGCTCTCATTGAACTTTACTGGTGTGTGTACCTAATGAATCTGGATTGTGTGGTGTTCTTAACGTTTCATGTACCTCATGCTTTCACATAGGTCCTGTTAAACACCCAGTATGTAAGCACTTTATAAATAAAGCTTTTCCAACATTTCTCCTGTTAGCTTGTTTGTCAGCATTTCCCACTTTCTTAAAAAATGATTTCTTAATATCAGTTGTATGAAGAAGATAGTGCAGCCTTGTTGGTAACATGTCAGACATTAAGCATCTTAGTAGGTGTTTGGGGACTTGAAAAAAGAAATGGCTTCTGTGTCTGTGGTGTGCTCTGCTCAAACAAATAAAAAGCCTTCAAAGACTGAGAAGAGGTCAGATTTTACAGTTAGTATTTGTCGTGATCTTTAATGGCTATTAGCTGTCTGGCTAATGGGAGGTTGAGGGTGGGTTTTTTTCGTTTGAGGTTTTGGTTGTTTTTTTCTTTTAAACAATGGGTTTTATTTAATGTCTTAAATGCATGTGTAATATTCTGTGTGGCCAGTTGGGTTAAGGATCCTTTATCCCTGTAACATACGGAATTGTAATGCCATTTTTGTTGCTTTTTCCCTTAAATAAATTTATGCTGTTAACTGTTCAAAAAGGCCAATTAGCCATAGCTAGTTATTGATGCTAAAACAATAGGTTCTTTCTCTCATTTGGAAACCGAATGGAGTTGAGAAGCACTCTGCTTTTATAAGTGAAGGGGAGGCCCAACTGCTTGTGTGGGAGCCTGGGGAAGCCTGGAGAAGCAGTGATGTTAGCTGAATAGGATAGAACCTTTCTTCACCCTGTATCCTCAAGACCTTGTGGAAGTCCAACTGTGCGGCTTGGAGCCAAGAAAAAATTATTCTTGTTAGCATACTCCAGTTGAAGCTCCCAGGGCAAAGCAGCTCTAATTACAGTTCTGTACTTAAAATATATCACAGAGGGATTATCAAGCAGGGAAGTGATGGTGAGAGCAGGCTACAGATATTCTTACATAATCAGAAGCTGGCATATTTTAAGAAGCTCTTCCTTCCTCTTTCCCAGCTGCCTTCCCTCATCTCTCCTCCTGCCCCAAAGCCAGGGCTTGCAGACTCCTGCATAGTAAGAGCACAGACACGGGCAGAGTGAAATACAAGTGTGTTAACTTAAAGCACCATCTTCAGTAGTTTGTTGTCACACGTTGCAACAGAATAGGAACATGCAGTTCAACCGTTGTCCTAGACTATAGAATGGTGATACATTAATTCTCATTAATTTGATCAGTACTAATAAGGTAAAGAGTCTCAAAGCAATGACACTGATGCCAAAGTTGCATTCCCAAATAATTCATGATTCTGGAAGAATTTGTAGAGCTAATGAGTTAGGGAGGGATTACTTATTTATTTATTTCAGTCTTTTCTGTGAGATGATTTGCAGGCTTTGCACTCGACAGGAGAAAAAGGCAGAATTTGACTTGAAGCTCACTTATATTCTGGCTCCGATTATAATAGCCCCACAGCGTAGGAAAATAATTGCCTGTCTGTAAGGCAGGAACACTGGGACATACTGAGACTTTCGCTTTTTTGCTGCAGTGTCTGCTGTTTAGGAGCTCCTTCCATACACGTGCTAAATTTTTATCCTGTCACTATTTTCACCTTTTCTTGAAAGACACTTGTAAGGTGATTTCAGTAACATTTAGTGGCAGCCCACTATCTTACACTTAGATATGAGCTCTGCAGTATTTTGATGCCGATGTTTCAAATTTGCCACCTTCGACAACTTTTTCATGCCCCTGTGCCCTTTTATCTTAAGGCAGAATAAACAAGAACTCTATCTTATCTCTCTGCTGTTTGGTTTGTATGAGTTTAGCATGTTCCTTCTTGTCTTTTGAGGTAAAAGGTCTTGAATTATGGTCAGTTCATTACAAGTTGAGAATTTAAAAAGTACTTAGGTGTTTGCCCACTGGTGTCCTAAACTAGTTGATTTAAATGCTGTATATTAGCTAAGGGGAGATGCATTTAGAAGCCACTGCTATTGATTCATCTTGTTACTGGGTTTTATTCTTCATATGGCAAAATCTTTATCTAGAATACAGCTTTGAGAATAAGTGACCAGCATTCAATAGTCTTGTTGCAAAAGTGGAGGGAGTTTGAGAACTTCGAGCAGGAATAAGGGAAAGCTTTTCCTAGATAATGTGTGTAACTCAAAGTGAACGTATCAGGGAGTTAATCTGACAGCAGTGCATCATCACTGACATGAAATCGGCAATTTCACATGAGGTGTAATTGAACTGTGGAATTAGTTGCCACTGTAAGGTGTTAAACCCTGAATTTTGAGCATAATTCAAAGAGCAGTATCGAGTTTTATGTGGATAACAAAATATCCAAAGCTGTTACAAAGTAATAAAAAGTCAGGAAAGAATACTACAGCTCCTGGTTTTAATATCATGCAGAAGGCTCGTTATTGTGGAGAAGTCTGTAAATTGTACCAGTAAGAAAATAAGCTGAAGTTGTTTTATCTTCAGGCAGCAAGGAAAAAAATCCTGGGTTTTAATTTTTTTTAATCTAAATTTTCACATTGTAGGTGGACGTAAATTTGGGGCTTCGTTATAGTAAACTTATCTTGCTTCGCCATTTCAGGTCCCACTGAAGTCAATCAGACACGTTAGTTTTCAGGATGAAGATGAAATTGTCAGAATAAACCCTCGTGACATTTTGATACGTCGTTATGCAGACTACAGGCATCCTGACATGTGGAAGAACGACCTGGAGAGGGATGACGCAGACTCAAATATACCGTTTTCTAAATCAGACAGTAAAAAATCTGACTATTTATACCCGTGTGGGGATGGAACTAAGTTGAATTCCCTGAAAGACTCAAAGAGTTCTGTGGTATTTAAAACTCAGCCTTCCTCGTCAAAATTTAAGAACTCGAAAAGAAGAAAAGAGGACGGTGAGCGTTCCCGCTGTATATACTGCCAGGAGAGGTTTAATCACGAAGATAACGGCAGAGGAAAATGTCAAGACGCGCCAGATCCTATTAAGAGATGTATCTACCAAGTTAGCTGCATGCTTTGCGCAGAGAGCATGCTGTATCACTGCATGTCAGACTCGGAAGGAGATTTCTCTGATCCTTGCTCGTGTGACACTAGCGATGACAAGTTCTGCCTGCGCTGGTTAGCGCTGGTGGCCCTCTCCTTCATCGCTCCCTGTATGTGCTGCTACCTCCCCCTGCGAGCCTGCCATCACTGCGGTGAGGTGTGCGGGTGCTGCGGAGGAAAGCATAAAGCTGCGGGATGAGCCGGGCGCGGGCCAAAGGGAGCTGAAAAATCTTTGTTTCCAGGAAGCATCTAACTTGGATTTGCGGAAGCTTTTTTGGCAAGCTGAAGGGAATCTTCTTTCATGGGGAGAGAGATGCTTGATGTGGAGGAAGCAACGAGACTTGTCAGACCTTGGCATTTCACACGTGCCAGCCATGCCTAACTATTTCCTTTGAGCGCGTGGCGTTTGTTGCAAGTCGTGAAGGAGATTTTTGCAAAGGAAAGCCTATTCTTATTATTGGCTATAAAATGAGTATATAAACTATGATTATACTAAAAGGGATTAACTTTTGCCACTTTGTACATTCATGGTTTAGGTGAGGGGGCTCTTTTAAAAGGATTAAAAACTTACCTGAGGGGAAATTTTAACTAAAAGTGCACTAGTGACAGTTGATTTAAGATTAAGAAAAGTTAATACTCGGCAAATGAGAAATGAAACTGATTTTAAGTGCAACTAAATCACTTATTAATAGTTTTTTGGAAGCGACTTTATGTATAAATAACAAATGTTTATATTTAACTAAATGTGTAAGGTACGAATTATTACATGTTAAACTTTCCTTCCCTCTGATATAGTAGGTATGGACCATATCTACTGTCACATTCCATGGTAGTATTTTAAATATTTAATTAGTTAATTTAGTCACATTTTTATTCCGGATGGAAAAAATTGATATTTTCAGTCCTGTTTCCCTTCAGCTACAGTTTGTGTTGAGTTGTATCCATACATTCTGATAATCTAAAAACCTTTAAAATATTAATTATTCTAGTCTTGAGTGACCAATATTTTTTTGTTAAGCACAGATGTAATTGTCTAAAATGTTCTTGTTAGAACATAACATTTATTTTTATATATAAATGACTTTGATTTCAACATAATAGCAAAAAGGAAGTTGTTTCTGTTGCTCAACCAGCAAGTTGTTTTCTTTTGGGGTGTCCTCCAAAAATACTTTATTGCATATTCAAATGTTCATTAAGCAAAAGGTACATTAAGGCAGTTGTAACAAATTGTCATCAGTGTTCTTGTTTATCCTTCTGTTAAACTAGGATCCTGTTCAGCTGTTTATCAAGTACTATGATTAAAACAAAAGATTAATAACAAAAGTGAAATTGTTTTCATTATTTTGAAATGCAACTTTTTCTTATTTGAACGGGCAAGAACAAAAGTGCTGTGTGTTGTGTTCAAAAGCAACAACAAAAGCCTTAGCTTGAGAAATAAATTGCAGCCCAGGCAAAATTGGAGTGAACTTCTTAATTGAGGAAATTTGGAGGGAGGATGGGGGAGAGAGTGAGCGAGTGTGTGTATGTGTGTGCACGGTGGTATATTCTGTATGATATCTGTTAGGGCTTTGTACTTGCGAAGTGTTTAACTTTCAGATAAGAATAAACTGATTAACCCACAGAGAATTTTTTAAAACATTACATGCATTGCTCTGTTATGAAGTCAAAAACATTTACTTCTCATTAAAGATCCATAAAACACTAAAAACAGTCATAATTCATTAGCAGAGGTGCCTATTTGATATCCTGGCTGGAGTGGGACAGACTGTCCTCTGTATACCTTTGTTATTAAGCAAACAAAAAACCTATTTGACTTTAAAAGATGCACATGACTGACTTTTTTCTCACTTCCTATGCATTTCTTCAGTATATTTCGTGTAATTTTTCTTTCTGCATGTATCAGTGCCCTTAAGTTTCCTTTGTAGCCCAGAAGTAAAATGAGCAACTGTATATAACGTTATCTGTCTGTAAAATACTTTTTAAAAGAAAACATTTATATTTATATTACAGCTTGAATTGACCACCTTGTGTACATAGATCATCTCAGAGTATTATTTCACATTGAAAAGAAGACAAATATATTGATAACTGTAGAAGTTACGGAAGAGCTTCTAGTTTTGTATTAAGAGTTGATTGGATGAATTAAATCCAAGAATATGACATGGTAGCAGCAGTCTTGGTTTTTACTGTTTATATATATGAAAGCTGCTACTCTGGTTGATTTTCATGCTTCACACATTTGCAGCTAAACTTCGGTTGCCTAGAATAGACTGTTAACTTTAAATACAACTTGGATAAAAAAAGGTCATGTTTTTCTAGTGAATGAGAGGAATTTAATATTTGGAAGTGCTAGGTTCCTAATTCAAGGTGAAGAGAGGTATGAACAACCTAAGAAAAGAACTTGCTGGCTGTGTGGGGAAAATGCTGTAGAATCCTATTGTGTACATACTTCAGAAAGAAACGAGTTTAACAGTGTTCCCCAAGCACTGTACGACACAGTGAAACTCCTGCTCCTGTACTGTATTTTATATGAAACATACACACTTTAATATTTTCATCGAATGCGTGCATTAATATTTTCACCTTGCGTTTAACCACTTTGCTGCTAAAATGTTTTCACCTTTTGCTTTCCTCTTTGAAGACTCGGTCCATATAAAAAGGGTTTCTGAACTGAGCTGTGTTCACTTTTCCTTCTTGCGCTGGAAGTGTCAGCTGCATGCCCAGGTCGGGAGCCACTAAAGCACTCTGAAGACACGTGGTTAGGTAAGGTCTGGCTTTAGAGGGACGCACGTGTACTTTTTCTTTTGATGTTCAGGATCTTACCCACTGTTGTGTTGCAGTTAAGAGATGAGTAGTGGAAGGTGGACGTACAGAACAGGCTGTTACATCCGTGCGTCTCTTCTTTTTGACAGCACGTAACATTTGTTCTGTCTCTTTTGAAATAACTTTCTTAAGCATTTGGAAAAAGAGAAGTTTCTTCCCCAAATCCTTACTCCTCCCCCCACCCTTCCCATCAGAACTGCAGCCTGTCAGGCGTATAGCAGCACAGCTTTGTGCTGCTTGGAGGGGAGGCCCGAGCCTTGGAAACTATCACTGAATATTAAGTCCCTCGCTTGTTGAAAGACTCAGTTACCGTGAAAATTAAGTATTTCCTCTTGAAAGTGGGGGAAGAAGTTAAATGATGGCAGCGCTCGTGCACCATCTGCTGGGGGAAGAGCATTCGGCTGCATTCAGGCATCATGTTTGATTGCAGAGTAATTTAACTGGCTAGGGGTGCGCTACTTACGCTATGTAACTTACTATGCACGTGCTTAAAAATATGTTGAGCTTTAGCTTCAAATTTACAACATAGTAATTTGAACTCTTACTGTGATACTTTATCTCCTCATGCTTCTTAAGTTTCATTATTAATATTGATTGAAAATAAAAATGCCTTAAACATATATTTTCCTAGGTTTAAAATAGCTACAGTGGCCTATTACGCAAGAGCATAAAAATCAGGAATGAAATGAAAATTCTTTTGATTCTGTCGTCAGGTTCATAAGAAAGATATTTTTTATTACTATTATTTATTTATTTATTTTCCCCCCGTGAAGTTCTCTCCCGCAGCGAAGTGATGGAGTTTTGATGTTCATGCAGAGGGAATGCGGCCTTTGGGTTTGTGATACGAATTGAAGTCTGAGCGTGTGCAGGTGTGTCTGTGTGCTCACACCTGCCGTCCAGTACCTGTGAAGCAGGGTTAAAGCAATATTCTGATAATAATCTACAATTGCTATGGTAACTGTTTAGTAAACAGCAGCAAATGATGGCACAAAACTTGGATGCCTTTCCAGAGCTTATGTAAGGGATGTTCCAAACAGTCTTAACCAATGCAGTTTCCTTTAGAGATGTTTTGAAGGTGTTATGAAGAATGTCTTAATTTTGCATGTTGGAATGTAACATTCCATTTTAGATGTGTTCTCTTCAGAATGATCTGTTGATGTGTACCTGGAGGGTAATGTTGAACTCCCGTGTAAATAATGCACAGGTCTAAAGAAGGCTTTAAGCCTTTTTAGAGCTTATAGCACAGTGTGCAGCCAGTAGAGTGATACATTCATATTAGTAGAATGAAGATTGAGGGTGGTAGCTGGCAACAAAACAATAACTTTAAAAAAGTGCCGTATGGCACTGTAAGTCCAGCAGCTGGATGGATAAAACTTCCATTTCCTTCAGTGTGCTGATTGATACAAGGAGGGTTGGGGAGGGTTAGCAGTTGGTTGGGTTTTTTTGGTTTGGGGTTTTTGTTGGTGGGTTGTTTTTTTTTTTTTTTTCCTGAAAGCTTCTCTCTCTTAATTGCAAAAGTTGTGGTTCGTTTAAGAAATCAAAGCCTTTGGTGAAGAAGAAGCCTTCATGTTCAAAGCTGCAGGATAAGCTGTACATATTTTTCCTTCCTTCGCTTGGTGCCATTTGCTTTCCACCCTAATGACCTCCAAGTGCCTCATGTGTATATTGTTTCCATTAAACCTCAACTGCTATTTCTTTCTACTAAATGATGTATAATTTAGTTAACTTATCCCATAGGTGTTTCCTTTATGAATATGAATATAGCTTGTTACTTTGAGTATATAATGTAAATATGCCTTTAAGCTTGTAACTGGTTTGTTACATCATATCCTTGTAAGCTGACATAGCCGATAACACCATAAAAATTGTTTAAATGTTTTTTCCTGTAATTACCTGATTAAAACTATCTTGAAATGAAACAACTGACATGTTTTTCCATTCTGTGTTGGGATTACTCAAAACAGTGCGTGTGAAATGAAATGTTGCGGCTGAAGAACAGAATAAAAAGATGTAAATACAGGTAATCATTTTGCCATAGTATTCTATTTTCTGGTTAAGCAAAATGTTAATCAGATAATTTTATGATTTTAAGACTGGTCAAACATTGCATTACCTTCAAGCTCCAGCATCTTTCATTGTCAGAACCACTTTTAGGAGTTGCTATAATGTTTTAAACAAAAACGTGCTTGTAGCAGCTTGCTTTGTATTTACAGCAGTACTTGTCCTTGACATCGTGCTGTGGAGGTCAAGATTCCTTCATATAAACCATGTTTGAGTTCCCACTCAATCCCACCACAAAAATGTGTTATCTCTGAATATAAGTTTAAGCCTTGTGCAAGTTAAAGATACACACCTGAAAAAAGAAGGAAAACTAATCAGTCCAGGAAGAAAAATGAAGATGAGCACAAAGAAATCTGTGAGATTGTAATTTGAAAGCTCAGTGGTCAGGGGTTGGGATGGATTATTCTAAATTAAACTGTATTTGCCTCTGACTTTTGCAAATGTTTTCTTATTGGTTACGACCGATGAAGCAATTCTCGCTGTTCATCTGATCAGTGCCTAACTTGAGGAATTTTATTATTGCTGGGTGTAATCATTACATGGACTATTAACTGTTGATAGTTGAGCTTTTAATTGATTATTTGAAAATGCAGCTCTACCAGAGAAAGGCAAATGAATTAAGTGACTAACAAGTTGAGGGGTTAATAGAGAATATTACAGACTAGATGAAGACCACACATGAGAAACTGACTCAGCATTAAACATGGTTTCATAGAAATTGGAAACCCTAGTATTAGATCTTGGACAAAATTACCTTAATATCATGGATAATAGATGATCTTCTGGTTTTGAAAAGGATAGGTGAGGGACTAGGTGCTTTTTTTTTTTTTTTTTTTTTTGGACAGGTAAGTCCAAAGTAAATTTCTGGGGTTCATAAATTAAATCAAAAACTGAAGTTAATCCACTGACTGTGGATTAACAGTCTGTAGACCACAGACCTAGTGGCTGGTTTCTTAAGAAAGTTATCGAAAATATCCCTATTAGTCCTTGCCACAGAGCAATTAATAATCAGTATTTTGTATCACTGTTTCTTGGCCCTTTTGGTTTACTATCATGGATCACTGTCCACTCCTGTACCGGAATGGAAAGACTGTAGGATTGTGTCATCACTTCCATCATTTGGGAACACTGAGCTATGCGATGTAATTTAATAGCTTGGAAACACACTAACAAATACATGGATGCAAATAAAAGAATAATCCCACATTTCATACATTTAACTTGAGGTTGGAGAGTGATTGCATGCACGCACAATGGGATCTCACTAAAATACGCTTTGGGTACTGCATAATGTGAATGACTAGCAGTAGTTACTTTTATCTGGAAGGAAAAGAAAGAGGTAAGCTAGTTTTTCAAGAAGCAGGCAGATGTCCCTGGCCTGACTTGAGAAATCTGGGAATATTTGAGAAGATAATGACTCTCACTGACAGAATAAGCCTCTCGGATGAATTGTGATTTCAGCTAAGTGGTGATTTGGCAGACTCCAGGCACATCTCAGTACCCACCAAATGATACCTGATGTGTTTTAAGCATTGTATGGTTATTTATGTCAGTATGAAGTATTGCACAGGAACAACTTTTTTCATATTTGGCATTTACTGCTTTTATTTATTTATTTTTAAAACCACCAACAAAAAAAAATCTGCATTCTGATATTGAGTAACATGTATCGGGGTAAGGTAAGCTGGCCAAAAAGCTCTGTGTTTGGTGGGAGGATAAATGGAGAGGAAAACAAAAAAAAAAAAAAGGTGGATAAGCTCTTTTTAGTTCCTATCCAGGCCTACGTGGTAGATAATGAAACAACTTCTAAATGAAAGCTGTTGCAGTCTGACCTGCTGTCTGAAAATGGAGACTTTATAAAAAGACAGATTTAGCTGCTTTTCATGATAATGAGCAACCTTGCTAAGAGAGAGTTCTGATTTCACCACGAAGGACAATGTGCAGATGTTAATGATCTTGCTAACAATAGAAAATGCTGCTGGGGGGGGTTGTGGTGGTAGAACCATATTTAGTGGCATCAACAGTAAATGTTTGAAAGAAAAGGAATTATCTTTTTTAAACATGGGTAAGTATTGATTGATCAACTCTGTTTCTCCAGACAATGCTACCATTAGCTGTAGGAAAGCTGTAAGACCCTGTTGAATGCAAAGCTGGCCTCGAATTAGGGGCTAATCTCCCCTAGTCCAACATTGCAACCTGTCAAACTGTTCCTGGATGAACTCTCTCCTTCCACTACTACATTTGTAGAGAACAAAGCTATTAACATGTATTAAAGACCTTGTAGCTCCCAGTGTAGGTAACTTGCCATTTTGTATCCCATGTCAACACCAAGTAGTGTAGTGAAGTATTTCTTTCAAACTGAGGATATGACTTGTTTTTGTTACTTCTGAAGAAAAAAAGGGGTTGTGAAACCATATTACTGCTGTCAGCAGCTGTCACTGTACCTTTACCAGAGCTGACTGTCCCTTCCTATCTGCCAATGTGCTTAGGTGCTTTTCTGTTCTTGCTTTATATTGCCTATAAGGGAGGTGTTACAGTGACTTGATCTTTCCTGTGCTTTTTCCATAATTTGTTTGTTTGTCCTTGTATGTTGTCTGAAGTCATCTTCAGCTTTATCTGTCAGCATATAGAGTTTTTACAGGCTGTGCGTGCATCTGATGACTATAGCTGCTGATTACTGAATGCCAATCATAAACAGGATTTAGAAGTTGTATTGCAAGGGCCAAAGGAATACAAAATATTGCATCTCTCGAATACGGTAATGCTGAGAAGTTCTCTCTGTTATGTGGGCATCCAGCCACCACTGACCAATCTAAAAAGCTGGTGTCTGAGTCTGATATGGTTTTACCTAAATTTTCATTTGTCTCTTGCCTATTTGCATATGACTGTCTATAAGGTATGTAACGAGATGAACTCTCCAGTACATTATTGGGCAACTCTTTCCCAGAGGAGGGGGAAAACTGGATCCTGAAGCTCTAAACAACTCTTGGTTTGCTCTCTTGCCCTAACAATCACATCAGTAATAGTTAAATAATTTTAACAGTTGTTGAAACCAACATGGTGGAACAAATTAGTTTGGGAGGGTTGTCACTGCTGACCTTCAACAGTACTAGAAATTCTGTTGAGTCACCAGCTGTGCAGGATCCACTGTTTCTGTTTTCCATGACGTCACAGCTATGTGTTAAAAATGCTGCTTGTGAAAGGGAGAGCTCTTTTTCTTTTAGGGCTACTTCTGTCATGAAAATGAAGAAATGATTATGCCTTCTTCCTTGGGCTTGGTGATCTTCAGTGAGTTCTTAGACGCCTGGAAATTGGTGGAGGCATGAGATGTGAGAACCGTGATCCTCAAGCTGAAGAGGTACGGTGTGGGACGGAGGGTAAATTTTGTGTGTGTGGAATAATGGGAATGGAGGTGGGAGCAGAGGAAGAGGAGTATTGTCTGGGCCCTGTTCACAAAATTAACTTCTTCAGGATGAGTTGACAAATGACACAGTATTCACAAAAGATTTCAAACTTTCTAAATGTAGCTATGCAGTTTCTGACCTCCCCAGGGTCTTTGAGCCTCATTGTGTACCTGAATAAATATATAAGGTCTGTTACAGTCCAGGTCCTGGCTCTCCCACTGTCTCTGAAATCCACCAAGCCATAGTACAGAACACTTCTCCTCTTCCATAGTGCTTGTCTGGGATTTGCATAGATGAGTAACTGAGTGATATTGAAGCTTGACTGTTCTCCAGATATTTCAGTTAACATCCTGTTCTGAAGTGGCAGTGGTATTCAGACTTCTGAACAATTTTAGCTTGTGGCAGACTTGTGTAGACAGCTCTGTGTTACCTATGTTAGTAAATTTATATTTCTAAAGTCACAGTTGTGAACGAGTATCCAGAAGGCTTTAGTGCATTTGGAGCTGGTTGGCCAGAGAGGTGGACAGGTTCCCATCCTTGGAGATGTTCAGGACTCATCTCGGCATGTCTCTGGGTAACCTGCTCAAACTGACCTTGCTTTGAGCAGGTAGGGTTGGACTAGGCAATCTCCAAAATCACTTACAACATCAGCAGTTCTGTGGCTTCTTTTTCAAGAAAATGAAGAATTTGGAGAAGCGAGAGAGCAGTCTCAGAAAAGTGATGCGATTTTGTGCCTGCTAAATCTGATCTCTGATTTGGAGGCAAATCCTAATCTTAATGCTTGAATGTTTCAAGTACCATAGAAAGATTGTCATTTTAGTCATGTCATCATTATACTTCAATATTTTTCACTGACAGAAAATCTTTCACGAACAAAGGCTTCAATATAAGTAATAAGTATTAGCATAGTATTGAGGTGAGGGGGAAAGCTATTCCAACTGTTAGTAAGCTTAAAAATATGCACAGGTGTTTGCATAAGTACTGAACAGCTGCTTCACATGCTCTTTTGGCACAGAAAATGTTTTCCCAGAGCTGCTAACTAACTTTAAGATAGTTTAGTAAAAAAAAAAAAAAAATAAATCAGGCCCTCCAAATCTTTTCCAGATTACCAATCCAGTTTAAAAAGCATCTCTAAAACCTGGCTGGAAACTGAGGCAAGTTTCCTGAGCGGAGTGTCCTTGGAAGGCACATGTACATCAGCATCAGTGCCAGGGTGAGACTGGACACGGGGGAGGGTCCCGGGGGGCACAGAGCGCGCAGCCAGTAACAGCTCTGGCTCTGGGACCCTCTCCCTATTGCAAAATGGAGCTCAAGGATGAGTGGGGAGTTGAGAAGGTTGAGTCATTCCCCTTCGTGCCTCTCCTAAAAAATCAAAGTAATGTTACTGCACACAGCCATCCATCCTTAGACAGACATTTGTCTCCAGTGGTTACTAGAACAGATTTTAACTATAT